TGTGTGTTTTTAAAACTTGCAGTCCTAGCTGGTGTGGCTCGTAGTTAGAGTATCATCCCGTACACCAAAGTGCTGTGGGTTCGAGTCCCTGTCAGGGCTTCCCCTCCCCCACTCCAGGGCATGTATGGGAGATAGATGTTTCTCTTGTCCTTCCTTTCTCTAAAATCAATAAACATTTTAAAAAATTAAAAAAAAAAAAACTTGATGCAACTGTTTTGGTTTCTGGTATCTTTTCAGACTGCATTAAATAGTGTATGTTTCTCATAGTTTAGAGTGTTGAATCTCTTAATTGCCCCCACCTTTTTAGTCCCCTAAGTCGTAAAGCTTTACATCCAAATCTGTGTTTTTGCACCTCAGTGTAATTTTATTCATCTCAAATAAAGAAGACTTTAAAAGTGCAACAATGAGATACCATTACTCTGGCTCTCAGTCACTCAACAGATATGGAATGAGCATCTTCTATTTTAAGATGCCTTGCTGAAAATAGTCGTGGGGATATAAAGTACAACACAGGAAATATAGTTAATAACATTGTAATAACTTTGTATGATGCCAGGTGGGTATTGGAAATATCGAGGGGAACACTTTGTAAAGTATATATATATATATATATATATATATATATATATGATTGACCACTATGCTGTATACCTAAAACTACTACAAATATTGAATGTAAACTGTAAAGAATACAGTTTTTAAAATTTAAAAACACAAAACACCTTGCTGAATATGTACATGAATTAATGAAAAGTCAACTATAAGAAGTTCAAATAAAGGAAAGGGCTTGAAACAATGAAAGTTAAAATGGCTCAAGATGGGTGAAAGTTTCTGAAATAGCTAGGAATGCCTACTCTGTGTAAGGCGTTCTGTTACCACAACCCAAAAGGAGCCAAAATTCACCCTCCAACGCCAGGCAGCTTCACTGGCTTTTGATTGTAATTCCTTAATTCTAATGCCTTTTCCTGTACTGAGACAGGCTAGAGCTTGGAGGAGTGGGTCGTAGCCGAAAGGACCAACTGAAGAATAAATGAGAATAACATGAGAACAAGATAGAGAATTGTGTAGAGATAAAAATGATAGTACCTTATGTTGCCAAGCCATGTTACAGTTTATGAAGCATACTTCTGCATCAACTGTATTATTAGTTCCATGTTATAGAAGAAGAAATTGAAGGCACAAGTGGTAGAGAGAGATCTGTTTAGATTCCTATGTCTATTGTTCATTTTATTGCAGATATTCTGGGGGCAACAGGAGAATGAATAAAACAAACTGATAATTTCATACAATAAAATACCACACAGCAATAAAAAGGAACAGGCATGGGTGAAAACCACAAACAATGTGCTGAGTCCAAGAAGATTTACATTCACTTAACACAAAAAATTTATATGAAGATATAGAATAGGCAAGACTAATCAATGGGGTTCAATCAATGGTAACAAGTATGCCAGTTATAAAATAACTTATTTACAAGTTATTTTGAGATGCATCAAATATATAACAAATAACTTGTCTACAAGTTATTTTGAGATCATCAAATATAAAATGGATATAGATATGGATAGCATACACAAGTATTGTAAAATCTTTAGGTGGTGAGTATATGGGTGTTTACTGCACAAGTCTTTCAAGTGTTCATAATTAAATGTTAGAAAACAATGAATTATACTCTACATTTATACATATAAAACAATATGTATGAGCAATAGTAAATTTTTTTTTTCCCCAAGAAGAACAACACAGTGGCAACAGGGGCTGAAAAAAGACTGAATGATCTTTGAAACATTGTCTTTAGAACTTGTTAAAATATTTTCCATTATCATCTATGAATGTAGCCCCTTGTAACACCAAGGCTAATCAAACCAAAACAGTGGAGTTTGACTGAGAGGTGGAATGAAGGGAACTTCTGGAATGATGTGGTTAGCTACACAAGTAAAACCATTTACCAAATATCATTGACTTTTACACCTGATACCTACATTTCTTTATTTGTAAATTTACCTTAAAAGGAAAAAAAACTGTAAGTAAATATTGAATTCTAGTTAATTATATGCATGCTTAAGTGTTTTTAGGTAAAATATACTGATGTCTGCAAATTATTTTGAAATGAATCAAAATAAAGTGAAGGATAGATATGAGATATAAAGTAAATTGTAGAATGTTAGTTATGAAATGTAGCTTATTTCCAGGTCAAGAGATGTTATTGAACATATGGGTGCTCACTCTGCAGTTCTTTGCACCTGAAAGAGACAAGGACAAGCAACTAAGAGCCCAGGGTATTGGATGGATCATCTGTATAAACACTGTACACCTAATTCCCAGATCTTGGTCTCTAATACCATGTCCCACCTACAGGAACCAAAACTCCTTGGAGACATGGCAGATTCCATATGAAAGTATTATATAAGTGTAAACATAGGAAGTTAGTAACAGAGGTTTTTAAGAGGATATCCTTACTTTTAGTAAATATATACTGAAATATTTAGGGGTAAAGGGCCATAATGTATATATGATTCAGAAAATAATAAGCAAATATTTTGGGGAGGAGAATACAAAAAATAAGGCAAGTGGGATAAATGTTAATAGGTAAACCTGTGTAAAGTGTATATTGGTGTGCCTTGCACTGTTTTCATTTTTGTAACATTTTGTATGTTTAAGATTATTTCCCCCAAAAAGATTATGACAGGAGCGGTGTTGGAGAGAGACACGGGGCGATCTGCTTAGCCGAGATGCTGGACTGATTATGTTCTGTGCTGTAAAACCAGAATAAGCAGTAGATTGTCTCACATTTCCAGTCATCTACTATTGTATTTTTACTTTAATATTTACAGTTTATTCCCTTTATTTGTCATAGTAGTCTTTTATTTTTAGTTCTTTTATGTTATCAATATTTTTCTGCTATCGTGTTTTCTTCAGATAACTTTGTAGACCTATCTTACTTAGCCATCTTAACCTGAGTTTTCATGAGGCTCCCAGGGCTTCCATCAGTAACCGTGAAGTCTGGGGATTCTTCTTTCTATATGTTTTAAAACACAGCTTTATTAAAATATAATTCACCTATTTAAAATATACAGTTTAATGGTTGTTAGTATATCTGTAATCAAACTTGTAACATTTCATTACCACAGCAAGAAAATCTCCTACCCATTAGCAGTCAGCCCCCAACTTACCCCCTTCTACCACCCATTCACTAATCTACTTTTTGTCTCTTAGAATCTGCTTATTCTGAATTTTCATATAAATGTAATCATTTAATATGTATCCTTTTGTGACTGGCTTCTTTTACTTAGAATGTTTTCAAGGTTCATTCATGTTATAGCATGTATCAGAACTTCATCCTTTTATTTACTTATTTATATATTGCTGGATTGTGCTCTGTTGTATGGACATAACTATATTTTATTTATCCATTCATTAGTTGGTTGACATGAGTTTTTAAAAATTTTTGGTTATTATGTTATGGGCAGTGTCGCTGTGAACATTTGTGTACAGGGTTCTGTGTGAACATGTGTTATTATTTACCTTGTGTATATAACTAGGAATTGAATTGCTGGCTAATGTCACTCTGTGTTTATCTTTGAGGAATGGCCAAGGCAGTTCTGCCATTTTACGTTCTTACCAGCAAAGTATGAGAGTTTCAGTTTCTTCACATCCTGGCCAACATTTGTTATCTGTCTTCTTGATTATAGCATTTTAATGGTTGTGAAATGGGCCTTTTCTGTGCCTTTAAAACCTAGAAATATGATCAGTTCTTAGTAATAAAATGATCTCCACCCTTTTCTAGCAGCAAGCCTTTTTCTTCATTAAATACAGAATACATAAAATAAATGGAAATAACAACATAAAAATGTTTTCTTTTCCCCATTCTCATTTCTTTGGTAGTTCTTCAAAATTGGAGAAAATCTCAAGAGAAGTAAGGGAGATTTAATAAATTAGTAATTTACCTGATGTCAAAAAACCTTATGTTGAATTAATAGCCATTATCATGGGTTGTAACTTCAATAAAGGATTGTTCCCTTTATTTTAATTGCAGTTTTTAATGTGTTTGAATTGTATTTTATTACCACAAGTAGTAATTGATAAAGTGGGAATTGAGTTTAATTTTGAAAATATAGATGTGTGTGTTTATAAAAGGAAAGATGAAAGAAAAAGAAGTATTTCTTTTTCTCCCACTTTATTTGGCTCACTATTAGGAACTCTCCTAAAAGGCCAATTTTTCATATGTTTGAGATCTGCATCCACATTCTTAGAGTTACAGCATCTTTTATTTGTCTTGATCAGGTTTAATCTTTAAATAATAATTTACCTTCACCTTTAAATAATAATTGTTATAGAGGAAAGGATTAAAATCTGACCAATATGAGAATGGTTTATGTGAGGATTATTTTCCTTTAATTGAACTACAATAGTTTTAGATTAACTCAATAAGGCATTCCATGTCCTGTTCCCTAAAACTCACTCATTTAGAAGTAAATTAAAGGTCAGGAGTAGAAAGTTCTAATGCCACTTCTACTAATCATACACAGTATAATCTTAGACAACTTCCTTTCTAAATGATTTTTAATCTATCAATACAAAAAAAAAAAGTACTACCCTCTTTTACCACTGATTTCATTGGACTATTATGATGGCAGCCAAATGTGCATAAGATACGGGTTTATTTTTGTTCCTTCCTCCCTTCTTCCTTGACCGTTGCCAGAAAGTATTCCCTAGTAGTACTATGCTGTTGTATCAAAGTAGCAACACTTCCTGAGGCAACACACCTGCCTCAGGAGTCCATCAGCTATGATGTATTGATGATGAATGTTCCGCCGGTGCAAGCTTGTCTCCATATTCATGGTCCTACCTCTACAGAGGTTCCTGCTGTGCCTAAAGTCCAAAGCTTGACCTGAATATTTCCAGTTAACATTCTGTCAGAGGGGCATTAATCCCCCCTCCCACCCCAGTTAAATATGGACTGTCATTTTGGTATTTCTTTTTGTGTTGAACTCCTACAGCTTTCCACGCAAGGAGATGCCAGTCAGGTGATTGGGCCTCTTACTGAAGGGCAGAGAAGAAATGTGGCGGTAGTGAATTCGTTGTTTAAGTTGCACCAGTCAGTAACAAAGGTAACCTTTCTCTGTATTTTAAATTCTATTGACTTAACTTCAAGTTTTTGTTTCTTCTTGCCTCAAAGTTAGACAATTTATGAATTATTTAATTTTGCAAAAGAATACAGTGAAAACATGATTGTAATATAAGCTGAGGAATTACTTCTTTATACACAGTCTTTGACCCTGGCCTTTTCTGTTTGTGTGACTTTTTTTCTATACATTTAGTTTAAAACACATGACTCTCAAGTTTGGTTGTTATAATCAAGTTTATTAAACAAATGACTGAAGGGTAAATCATCTGTTTTATGACTATTAAAAAAAGACTATTAAAAAGCATAATATGATATAATGTGGTTGGTAGTAAATTATAGCAAAGTTAATTACAGACTGAGAACTCTGAACCCTCCAATATGTCCAAAAGGTTCCATTTTTGCACCAAAATGGGGAGGAGCTGCATTAAAACAGTAAATTTTTATTGTATAATCACTGATGACTACTGCAAAAAATATATATATTCTTTTTGCCAGTTTAAAAAAATCAACTTTAACTTGTTTGCCTTCATGTATTATATTCAAGACGAACAGTATTCATAATTACTAGGAACGCACTTTCACCCCATCTTTGACCTTGGAGTAGCTTGTGATTACTGTCTATAAATAATCTTCAAAGTACTTTTAAGTTAGGGAGATAAATATGTAGAAGCCTGAATGATGCTAAAGGTTGGGTGATGCTCTTTAAAACTGGACCTCTAACATGAACTTTTATATGCTAGATTGTTTTAAGAATAATTATGTGATTATTTTTCACTTACTAGACTTTTTAACAAGTCCTTTTATCAAGTAGGGGTTTCTGAAAATGTATATTCACACACTAAGCAAAATATATTTTAAAGAGTTATTGTAAAGTGAATCTCAGAAAAGTAAATAAACAGAAGTAAATACAAAGAATAAATGATGTATTTTCCATTTTCTTTAATCATTAACCTAAAGCACCACAAGCAATGAAAGGTTGTGTTTATTTAGCTTGATTTAAATGTCTTTATTGATACTTTCAGAATTTTCATAATGTTTGTATTGATTTGTAAAAAGGGAAATGTTTGACATTTGTATTTTAAAGATGTTGGAAATTACAATCGCCCTAGAAAAGTGAATATTTTAAAAGAAATATGTAAATATGACTTTAGACTGACCTTTTCAAGTTAAAACTATCATTAAAACCTATGTAGAGTGAATAAAAGAAAGCTCTTAGAATTCTTTATATATTTGCTTTATACAGGAAAGTATTTTCAACCCATTTTAACTAATAAATACTAATGAATTTTTAAAACATTTATAAGATAGTCATTATAAAACATTTATAAGTAATGATAGTGTTTCACATGTGGCTTGTGGAAACAGCCTTATATTATGATCAAATTAGCATTTATAAAAATAAGTAGCTTAAGCAAAAGAATAACTGGATCAAAACTTTGTTTTAGGTGATTTCCAGTCAGAGCTCATTCCCACCAGCCGCTGAGCAAACTATAATTTCAGCACTGAAGGTAAAATAATTTAATTTAATCTTTGAGTCTGTAGGTTAAAGTGGGTTTTAGAATTATTTGTTTGGATGAGTGGGAGATGTCACATTTTAAAAATAAGTCAGAATCCTTTGCATATACCAAAGGTAGAATGCTGATAATTATCCTAAAAAGATACATGTGTGTTTATATTTTCTAGAATTTAAAAATAGCTGCTGTTGGTCTACAGATTATGTTCCACTTAAAATAATTGTACAATAAGCAAGAGAAGCAAGAAAGTTGACTGTATCTTAAGGCAGCACAGCTGGGTATTACCCTAGTAAAGCAGTGGTTCTCCACCAGGTCAATATAACAATTTCTGAAGGCGTTTTGATTGTCACACTAGCACAGGGATGCTTCTGGTGCCAGGGATTCTGTTAAACACCCTACAGTGCATAGGACAGCACCTCACAGCAAAGAATAATATTGAGCCCAGACGTCAATAGTGCCAAGGTTGAGATACACTAATGTGTGACTGTAAGATGTGAAACCAGGGTGAAGCCCGCTCCCCGCTCTCTTTTAAGAAATTAACATAAACATTCCCCCTTTCTACTACTAAGGAAGTTTAATGAAAAATAATGTAGGTACGGGATTCAGAGTCATATGTAGTTGACCTTAGTAACTATTTTAAAAAACAAGAAAATTATTCATTCTTTTGATAGAAATAGATATCCTTTAACACATTGTTACTTGCCAGTCACATTCAATCTGTTGAAACATTACAGCAACTGAAATATAAAAGTTATATATTTTTATTCCTATTTTATAGAACTTAGAAGTAATAACTTGCTCAAAGTAATCGTAGCTGGTAAGCCTAGACCTCTCTGACTCAGTAGAGTCATGTCCACTATACCTTGCCACGATCATCCATTCATTCATTTACTAAATAAATAAAGCCATAGGGCAAAGACTCTGGAGCCAGACTGCCTTTATATGCATCTTATTTCAGTTGTTAAGTAGTTGTATTACCTTCAGACATGTTAGTAAGTTTTTGCTTACCTTAGTTTGTATCTATAAAATGGTATAATACACTGACACAAAAACAATTCATGTCAACTATTAGATTAGATTTAGATCACTTGGTTAGAGTTATAAAGAGAAGGAGAGACCGAGACACACACACACACAGAGATACCAATAAACTCCGGTGAGAACATTTATATTTAGAGAGTAAAGAGGATACAAAGATAGTGAGGAAGACAATTGAGAGAGGACAGTGTTACAAATCCTAAAGGAAAAGGGAACTTCTGAGGTCAGATACTGTCCGTGAGTGACACGGGTAGGGATTTAACAGACCCACAACTTAAGGACACTAAATTAGTATGTGAGAGTAAGAAGATGCAGCCTGTTTTCTCCCAGCACATGAGAAGTGTACCTGGATGTTTTCTCTGTATCCTTTTCTTTTGCCCAGTATGGTGTTCTTGTGATGATGAAATATTATTAAAGCTGCCATAATGTAATAATTGTTTTTAGTAAGAATTGTCTAATTTATTGATGAACAGAAAAACACTATAAAATCAGGTGAGAGTGACAAACCAGAGGGTCTTAATATTGCTCTCAAACAGGAAATACGTGTGGTTTTCTTTTCAGTAGTTCCACATTTTTTCTTTATGTTCTAGCAGTAGCTGTCAAACATCTTTTGATTACTACCCAAGATAAGAAATACATTTTACTCTGTCACCCTATTCGTAATACTTATGCATTTATAAACATATACACACATATATAATTGCATATATATAGACTATACATCTATGCACATTTCCATAATTAAAACAAAGGTTTCATAAAATAACACTTTCTCTTGATTTTTTGGATGCACTCTGTTATTTTCTAAACTCATATATTACTTTTTAAAACATTCTGATAGCGATTTACTAGATAGATTTTTTGGCCTCTAATGATTGCAACTCATAGTTTGAGAAAGTTCATTCTGTAGGTTAAGACAGAGTACCTTCATTTTGCCTGATGATAAAAAGCTTTCTGGACAAGTTAAAAATGGAAATTTGTCAGAGACTATAATACAGTATAGGGTGGATTCTCTGAACCTGTATTATAGCATACAACAAAGGTTATTCCTAATATGAATCACTTTGGGCTGAGAGTTGAGGTCAGTGCAAGGAAAACTGCCTTGATTTTGGGCTATAGCCCTTACTCTGAGGTTTGCCCACCAGAATGTGTCTCATGTACCTGGGTACTGCACTTTGCTGAAGCATCACCAGTTTTACCCTTGAGAACTGGGTAAGAAAAATTAGCAATTAGTTCAAGGCCATCTTGGAGTGGTCCTGCCACTCCAAGAGATTAAGCAAGTTCCCTTCTATTTTTAGTTTACTGAATTTATTTTTATTATAAACAGTATTGTTTCATCAAATACCTTTTTCTGTATCTATTTAAATGATCATATGTTTTCACTCCTTTATTCTGTTAATAAAATACAGGAATTTATTTTCAAATATCAAACCAACCTTATTCATGATGTTTTACCCTTTTTATGTATTCCTGTATTTGATTTACCTAATTTTTGTTAAAGATATTTGTATCTGTAATCATAAGGGGTATTGGTATATAGTTTTCTTTTCTTGTATTTCTTTGTTTGGTTTTCATATTAAAGTTAATACTGGCCTCACTAATTTGATTTGGAAATGTCTCTCCCTCTTCTGTTTTCTGGAAGAATACATGTAGAATTTCTACTGTTTTGTTCTTTAAATGCTCAGTAGAATTTACAAGTAAAGCAATCTAGGTCTATAGTTTTCTTTGTATCAATAGGAAGTTTATAACTGCACATTTAATTTGTTTAATAGATAAAGATTATTCAGGTTATCTATTGATTGAGTGAGCTTTGATAGTTTGTGACTTTCTAGGTGTTTGTTTATTCATCTAAGTTATCTAATTATCAGAATTATGGACATGATATTCTCATACTGTCCTTTTAATATCTTTGGGACCTACAGTGAAAGCCTCTTTTTCATTTTTTATATTGATTTGAATTCTCTTTTTATCCTTGATTAGTTTATCTAGGGTTTTACCAATTTCATTGATCTTTTCAAAGAACCAACTTTAAAAAAAATTTTTTTTATTGTTGTTCAAATACAGTTTTCTCCATTTTCCTCCCACCACTCTCTGCCTCCTCACCCATCCCCACCTGTGGGGTCCCTGTTCCGGCGCCAGATGAAAAGGGAGCTTTGTCCCGCAGAGTCCCCCCGGCCGCCGCGGATGAAGAAATAAACTGTACCAGACACGATTTGCCTGTGAGGAGAGAGGGTGGCGATTCCCTCTGGTAGAGAATGCCCCGAGTCCTTCTCTTGAAGTGGCTTTGATTGAGAACAATATGGGAAATGCACAGGGGTATACAGTATGAATGCAAAGCTTATCAGTCAATGCCTAAAATCTATATTTACAGAAAACAGAGATCATAGATAAAAATTGAAGGAACACAGAGATTTGCCTTAGGTCAGGGTCTGGTAGACAGGTTAACACCTATTCAACCCTGAGAAAATAAACTCATCCTATGCTCGGATTCCCAAACACGAGTACTCATTAACTCCAGGGCATTCTTAGCAAAGTAGGTTTCATAGGATTTAATGCATTCGCTTTCCAGGCCCAATTGCCCCCAGGAACCACCTATTCCAGACCAGGGCTGTACCTGCCTCTGGTATTGTTTCAAGCCAGAGTCAGGTGGGTGTAGCAGAGCAGCCAAGAGATAAGGAGACTTCTTTCAGATAGAATGAGGACTCTGGCTATGACAGAGCCAAGGAGTTAGGGTCTTTTGTCCCTTCTGTGTGTCCCCCAAGTCCTTCCCTGATAGCCCCTATGCGACTGTGCCTGTCTTAGGTTGCCCCTGCCATCAAGGGGTCTTACCCATCCTTGACTAACCACCCATCCGCTGGGGTCAAGCAGGGTGATGTGAGGGAGGCAGCAGCTGTGCCCCTGCCAGGGGGACAGGTCTGGTCTCCTCAGCGGCCTATTTTCCCAAGGCCTCCTTGCTCAGCTCCAGCCTTGGGGCCCTCTCGCCAGTCGGCGAGGCTACAGTCAAACCAGGTGGGATGGTTCCCAACACCCACCTCCCACCCTCAATCCTACCTCCTTTCAGCTTTGTCCAATGGATCCTTTATACATGTTCCTTGATGGCCTTTCCTCTTTTTCCCCCTATTATCCCCTCCATCCCCCTCCTCTGGATACTGTCAGTTTGGTCTTTATATCAGTGGTCTTTATATGTAACCTCTGGTTATATTTTGCCTGCTTGTTTATTCTGCTGATTAGGTTCCACTTATAGGTGAGATCATATGGTATTTGTCTTTCACTGCCTGGCTTATTTCACTTAGCATAATTCTCTCCAGATGGATCCATGCTGTCGTGAAGGGTAGGAGTTTCTTCTTTTTTTCTGCTGCATAGTATTCCATTGTGTGAATGTACCATAGTTTTTTGATCCACTCATTTATTGATGGGCTTTTAAGTTGCTTCCAGTACTTGGCTATTGTAAATTATGCTGCTATGAACATTGGGGTGCATAGACTCTTTTGAATTGGTGTTTTGGGATTCTTAGGGTATAATCCCAGCAGTGGAATTGCTGGGTCAAAAGGCAGTTCCATTTTTAGTTTTCTGAGGAAATTCCATGCTGTTTTCCACAGTGGCTGCACCAGTTTACATTCCCACCAACAGTGTACTGGGGTTCCCTCTTCTCTGCAGTGTTGCCAGCACTTGTTGTTTATTGATTTGGTTATGATGTTCCTTCTGACCAGTGTGAAGTGTTATCTCATTGTGGTTTTAATTTGCATTTCTCTGATGGCTAGTGATGCTGAGCATCCTTTCATATGTCTCTGGGCCCTATGTATGTCCTTGGAGAAGTGTCTATTCAGGTCTTTTGCCCTTTTTTAAATTGGGTTGTTTGCCTTCCTGGAGTAGAATCACATGAATTCTTCATATATTTCAAGAACAAACACTTGTCCAAAGTATCTTTTTCAAATATATGTTTTCTCTCACAGTTGATTCCCTTTTCATTTTGCTGATGTTTTCTTTAGCCATGCAGAAGCTTCTTATTTTGATGAAATCCCAGTTGTTTATTCTTTCCTTTATGTCCCTTGCTCCAGGAGACATTGGTGAAAATATTGCTGCGTGGGATATCTGAGAGTTTCCTGACTATGTTCTCCTCTAAGACTTTTATGCGTCGTGACTTATATTTGTCTTTTATCCGTCTTGAGTTTATTTTGGTGTATGGTATAAGTTGGTGGTTGAGTTTCATTTTTTTGCATGTAGTTATCCAGATCTCCCAACACCATTTGTTGAAGAGGCTATTTTCATCCCATTTTATGCTTCTGCCCTCGTTGTCGAATATTATTTGACCATAGAGGCCTGGGTTTATTTCTGGACTCTCTATTCTGTTCCATTGATCTATGTGCCTGTTCTTATGCCAGTACCAGGCTGTTTTGATTACAGTGGCCTTGTAACATAGTTTGATATCAAGTATTGTGACCCCTCCTGTTGTGTTCTTCTTTCTGAAAATTGGTGTAGCTATTTGGGGTCATTTATGGTTCCATTTAAATTTTTGAAATGTTTGTTCTGTATCTTTCAAATACGTCATTGGTATTTTAATAGGGATGACTTTAACTCTATAAATTGCTTGGGGGAGTACAGACATTTTGAAGATGTTAATTCTTCCAATCCATGAACATGGTATATGCTTCCTTTTATTTGTGTCTTCCTTAATTTCTTTCTTCAGTGTTGTTTATTTTTCTGAGTATAGGTCTTTTACCTCCCTGGTAAAGTTTATTTCTAGGTACTTTAGTTTTCTTGTTGCTATAGCAAATAGGGTTTTTTTCCTGATTTCTGCTTCTGATATTTCATTGTTGGTGTACAAAAATACTTTCGATTTCTGAATATTGACTTTGTATCCCACTGTTTTGTCAAATTCACTTATTAGGTTGAGTAGTTTTTTGGTGGAGTCTAAAAATAGGGAACACCCATGAATTTGTGTGCCGCCCTTGCTCGGGGGCTATGCTAATCTTCTCTTTGTCATTCCAATTTTAATATACGTGATGCCAAAGTGAGCACTCAAAGAACCAACTTTTGACAATATTCTTCATTCTATATGTTCCTATTTCATTGATTTTTACTTTTTTCTTTTTTATTTCCTTCCAATTACTTTGGATTTTCCTTGACTGTTTTTAAAAAGAATTGTGAGACCATATACTGTGGACTTTAGACCTCTTCTTCCCCGAAATAAACATTTAAAGTTGTAAATTTCCCCTAGGCCATGGTAGAAATAAACTGACAAGAAGGTTTCAAGAAGAAGGGTTGGTTTCCTTCTCTGGTATAAAAGAGTGAGTGTCTAACTACACATCCTCCTTAAAATAAGTATGGAAAAAATACCAAAGACAAAACAAAAACAGAAAATCTGTCGGAAGGCTCTGGAGATGGGGAAAAAAAGAAGCAGGTAGTTTCAGAGTGGTGTGAAATCTAGAGCATGCAGCAAGAAGTGGGAGTTTTCCATTTTTTTATGACTTTGCTCTAAGAGTGACTACAGTCATGGTAGAGGTGAGGCCGGGTGGCTAAAACTCAGAGAGAAAACAAAACAAACCTACAGACTTACAGGTGAAAGGAACAAGGGGAAAGAGCTGTTGGGAAGTGAGAAGCAAACCTCAGAAAGGAGAGAGCCAGTGGAGAGGAACGCCTGACTCTCTGTCCCAGCTCACCGCTAGTCTAGAATGGTCTCATCAACCATGCATGCACAGAGCAAACTAAAAGTGGTTTTTGTAAGTAAGCCTTAAGGAACTGAATTGAGATGTAAGGCACAGCCAACTACAGGTATGTCAGTATACAGACTGGGTCTAATCAAACAAATTAACTGCTAAAGAAACATCAACACTCTTAGGAGGGATATTTAAAAATACTGAGTCTACACAATACCCAGGTGTAAAAATCACCACATATACAGAGAGTTAGAAAATGTTATCATTGTCAAGGGAAAAGACAATCAACATCTGTCTGAGACGGCAGTGAGAAGCTAGAACAATTCCTTGGCAAGTGGAATAGGGAAACTGAGACAGAGAGCTGAACACGATGGCCGAGCAATTTACAGCCAGGTGCTGGCGGTCACCAGGGTGGAAGGCCCCCACTGCCTGGCAGGGGACAAAACCGGGAAAACAAGGACTTGGCCCCCAGGGTAACCTTTCCTCCCCTAGCTTTTCCTCCCTGGAGGTCACATCCAGGCCTCAGGTGTATTTCAGCTCCAGGCCCAGAAAAGCAGCAAAACCAGGTGAGCAAAGCCAGGAGCAAGTGTAATGACTAAAGACCCCCTGCCCTGTCACTGACCGGTCAGAGGAGACAATGGCCCTGAAAGGGCACACCTGGAGACAGGTGCGTACTCTCCTGAACCCTCCCCAGAGATCTCCTCTGAGAGAGAGAGAGAGAGAGAGAGAGAGAGAGAAGCGTCAGAACAAAGAACCCAGTGAGCACTCTCCCTCTGGGGAGCAGCCCCTGCCATTCCCTTTTCTGTCTTCCCCTACTTCTTTCTGCACAGGCATGCTTCTCAATGGGCAGCTGGCAGCTTGTTTCAGACTAATCCCCTGAACCTGTCCCCAAAGCCTCTTTTCTCTGACTCACCAGTGAGCTAAGGCAGCCCAGCCTAGGCTCTCCTATTTCTTCTTCTATGCTAAGCCCTTCCCTGTTTCACTGCCCCCAGCTTTGATAAATGCATCCTCATAGTCACCTGGACTCGTGTTGTGAAATCTTCCCTCCACGAAGTCAGGAACCCACGCACTCCGGCCGGTCCTAAGCAGACCCGCTCAGGGCCAGGCCCCTGTCCAGTAACATATCTACCCCGAGATGACCCGCACTCTATAATTATCAGGCAAGAACCTCAGTGAGGTAAAGAAAAAAGTGCTAATAATAAAAAAAAATAGAAGGAAATTTCATTATAATAATTAAAAATGTGAAAGAAAACAAATGGAAATTTGATTCTCTTTTCAAAGTGTCTTCATCCTGTCTCATCTCTGTTTCTTCTGCCTCTGATTGGTTTCAGGTGCTCACCATTTCCCATTTATACTACTACTGTGTCATCCTGCCTTTAGTCTGATTTAGCCAGTCTAAATTCAACAGGACTTTTCCCATATTCAGACCTTAACCACATTTCCCCATTGCTTACAACCCATCATTGGTCCCCCAGCCCCTTCAGGATAAATTCCCAACTCCTTAGCAGCCTACACGGAGTGCATCTGCTGCCTGGCTCTCTTCACATAGGCAGCTGCCTCCCGGGATCTGTGTTCAATGCTTGCAGTTCCCGAAATGTATCAGCTTTCCCAGGCCCCTCTGCCTTAGCGTAAACTCTCCAAGCCCCACCCTGTGCCACAAGGTTCTTACCAATTTGTCCTTTGAAATTCAGTTCAGGCAACACCTTTTGTTTTGCAAAATCTCAGTATAAGTTAGAGGTCTCTCTCATCCACAGCACTCTGTAGAGCACTGATATCACTCTTAGATTGTTATCTGTTGTCACTAGATTATGAGCTCCTCAAAGTCTAGGGTGACATTTAGGAACTTAATGAATATAGGTCCTATTTAAAGTTTTTTCTTTTGTTGAAATCATTAGTAGGAGCCAAAGCCATCCATCTTGATTCTGTGTATAATCATTACTGAAACACAGATAATATACTTAAATTTTAGATTTGGAGTGTTTACTGAGACCCAGCCAATATTTTCACCCTTAACTAAGACCTGTAGTCTTACACAACCTAACCAGTGATTATACCTCACTGTAGAATAGTTTCTCAGTCTTTGCACTATTGACACTGTAGTTTCTTTGTTGTGGGGACTGCCCTATAGGATGTCCAGCAGCATCTCCATCCTCTACCCACTGGATGCTAATAGTAAAACCTTCACACACCCCAGTTCTAACAATCAAAAATGTCTCCAAACATTTTCAGGTGAAGAAACAAAATTGCCCCTAGTTGAGAATCACTACTGTAAAATTCTAAATTGAAACCTAATTCAGGAAGTATTTAACTGTTCTGCCCGATATTTATTATATTCACTCTGGTTACAAGCATATAATGTCATTCCAGTTTTGAAGAATCAGCTTTGGTCTTAATCATTCCTCCGAAATTTTTTCAGAACGTGTTCACTTGATCTTTACTTCACCATGGCACGGCTCCTCTCTTGTTCCTTTTTCCAGGGGCTCATTTGACCATTAAACTTTTGAAAATTTCAGAGGAGTGGAAAGTTAAAATTTTTTAGTGCTATCTACAAATATAAGCTTTAAAAATCATTTCTGGTGGCAGTTATTAAACTGTATTTAGTTTGAATTTGACATAATTATGAAAGCTTTTAGTCAAAATGCTGCTCGGATTTCTTCGTGTTAGTCTTCTTTAATTTTGCCTCTCGTTCCTTTTTTTCTTTTCAGACGATCCATGTTCTTATGGGAAATGCTGTGCAACCCTTACTGACTTCAGTGGGAGATGCTATAGAGGCCATAATCATCACCATGCATCAAGAAGATTTTTCTGGGTAATAACTTTAAACCAGTATTTTCACTGACCTTTACTGCCTTTGTTTTTCATTTCCGTCTCCACTCCTACTCCCTAAAGTCTCCTGACAACTAGGGCTTGTTCCTCACGTGACAGGATTGGCCTCCAACTTTATCCTATTTCGTTCGTGGTGAGCACCATTAGCAAATGAAATTGCTTTCAGTTGATGTTGTCATCATTTCCCTCCTGCCATTGAAACATGGAATCATTAACATCTACAGGACTCAGCTTGGCACTTCAGGACCTTTAGTAGTCTGTACCATCTTACCTTTCCTGTTTTATCTTTGTCCTACCTTTCACAAATACCCTGTACTTGAGCTGTGGCGTAAGCATTGTATTTCTTCTACAAAATCCAAATGCTGCTTTGGCTTTGAGGGCAAGCTCCTGCCCAAATACTCTCAGAGTGATTTTCCTTTCTCAGAGTTTTGTGGCTGATGAACACACCCAGCCATAAACATTTTTATATTATACCATAGCTATTTCATATGTCTACTGCTTATCCGTATCTTACTATCTTAAGAATAAGAATCAAAGTTCCTAACCCAGTGTTTGCTGAAGTCTGTTCAAGCAGAATAAAATATTTTTGACTCAGTGTATTAGAAAGCTGTTTATGGAGAATTTGGAATAATTATTTTCAACATAACAAATGTCCAAACCTGTAGAGAATTTTTATAAAAATGCATTTGAGCCCTTGCCAGTGTGACTCAGTTGGGTGGAGCATTGTCCCATACACCAAAAGATTGGGGGTTCAATTCCTGGTCAGCTCATATACCTAGGTTGTGGGTTTGGTCCCCGGTCAGGGCACATTATGAGAGGCAACCAGTCAATGTTTCTCCCTCACATTGATGTCTCTCTTTCTCTCTCTTCCTCTCTCTCTAAAATCAATAAACATATTACAAATATTTTTTTAAAAATGTATTTCAGCCAAACAGAGGATACAACTGAAAGCAAGATCTCAACAGACTGAGATAAATACTCCCAAGAGTAACAGTTTTCACTTTCTTTCTTTCTTTCTTTTTTTTAAAAGAGGTATTGTGCTTTAGTTTTCCTCAGTATTCTTAGGAACAAAATCTTCTAACACACTATTGATTGCCTCCATTGCATCGTAGGTATTAGATGATCCATGTGCAGCATTTCTCAAAATACTCTCTCCAAATTTGGCTCGGATGGAGTCTGGGGACAATAGTTTTGCTTCATCTGGGTCCGTGGGACCCATCAATCGTCTGCATTCTGAAATAGCATTCCACTTGGTCAGAACCGTGACCAAAGACCCTTCTCTGGAAGATATTCTTTGGCTTCTTCAACAGTGCTTGGTCCAATTAACTTTTTCCAGTGTTGTAAATCATTGTCTTTTAATAAAACGAGGACTACAGGTGGACCACTGGCCATGTTTTCTATAAGATTTTCAAAATAATCTTCATTTTCATATTTCTTGCACAATTTTTGTGCCTCTTCTTCTGATAATACTACTTGTCTTTGCATCAGTATTCTAAAGCCTTGATCTTGAATAATATTCAAAACACCCTTTTTTCTTTAATTTCTATAGTTTTCTCAGTAATCACAGCCTCGGGTTTGATAATAACGATACTGGTTAGTTTGTCCTGGGCTTTGGCAAAGGCGGGGCAGAGTGGGCTAGAGACACTGGAGGAGACACTGGGGAAGGAGGCCTTGGGGAGAGAACTGAGAGAGTAGCCAGTGGGATCCTGGTGCTGATCCATTCCCCATGCAGCAGCAGCCATCTAGTTTTCAGTTTCTTTTATGCATTTGAAATTACTTAGAGAACTTAAGGACGCTTGCATGAAGGTGGCAGGAAGCAACTAGGGAGGGGATTGCAGGATAGTTAGGATTATGTGCTCTCTTGAGGGGTCTGAAAAGGGAGCATTTCAAAGATGTGTTAACCTAGATGCACAGAAACAATGAACAGGGCTGGTAAACCTTTTACTAAAATTATAAGCCCACGATGTGACTACCCACTGTAATCTGCACAGTTAGGAATTTATTATCATTTCACCCTGTGATAGATACTACTTTCCATAGATTCCCCACTTTTCAAAAAGCTTTTATTTATTTATTTTTAGAGGGATGGGGAAGGGAAGTAGAAAGAGAGGGAGAGTAACATCAATGTGAGGTTGCCTCCCTCCTACTGGGAGTTGTCTCCTACTGGGGACCTGGCCCGCAATCCAGGAATGTGCCCTGCCTGGAAATTGAACCAGTGACCCATTGGTTCTCAGGCTAACACCCAATCCACTGAGCCACACCAGCCAGGGCAGAACCTCTTTTCTCATCCACATTATTTACATATGCTTAAGGTGATTTAAAAAATAAAAATAAAAACAGCCACACTCTAGAGTTAAGCATTTAAATATTAAATGTAAATTGTATACTTTATATTCCTACTTTATATTTAGTTACTATTTTTGAACTATCTTGTTTTTCTTTATATTCATGTTGTTTAAAAGAATATCTAGTTTATTAAATTTCCAGCCACTAGTCTGTGAAAAAGTTGTATGATTATGACACTGTCCTTTAATTTTTTAAATCATTTATCACTTCATTTACAATGTATGTTTTGAAGGGTGATAAGGTTAATCTCTATTTTTAATAATGGTAGGGATCTTAGGACAGAAGGACAGAGTGGGTTCTATACAAAAGTACTATAATATTTGGATATAGGAATAAAATTGTTGATGCCAGTATTTGGGAGGAAATGAACTTTGTTTAAATGTGATATGAAAGACTTCAGTTAGATTAATCATAAGTGCCTCTGAAAAGGAAGCAAAAATGAGGTGATTTTTAAAGGCTTATTTATAAAAGTGGTCATGTTTATTTCAGTAATTATACTGTGAGCCAAACTAGTACCTACAGAAAACACATTAAACATTAAAAGTTGGTTTCCCAAATAGTTACGTTCTCACTAGTTTGCCTAAATACTGGTGAACCAGACTGGTTCGTTCCCCCCACCACCAGGCCTTTTTCAAAAAATATATCTTTTATTTATTTTTTAAATTTATAAATCATGTTTATTCTATTATAGCTGTCTCAATTTTTACCCCTTTACCCCCCTTCACCCATCTCCCCTCCCCACCCCCCTCTCCCACAGTCAGTTCCCACTCTGCTCTCCATGTCCATGGGTCATTCTAACATGTTCTTTATGTGTTTGTCTAGTCACTTCCCCTTCTTTCCAACATTGTCCTCTTTCCCCATGTCCTCTGGTCACTTTCAGTCTGCTCCATGTCTCCGTGCCTGTGGTTTATTTTGTTCGTTAGTTTATTTTGTTGAATAGAGTACACTTATAGGTGAGATCATATGGGATTTATCTTTCATCAACTGGCTTATTTCACTTAGCTTAGTATTCTCTAGTTCCATCCATGTTGTCACAAAAAAGCAGGCATTCCATCTCTCTCTCACCCTTTCTTTTTTCTTTCTTTCTTTCTTTCTTTCTTTCTTTCTTTCTTTCTTTCTTTCTTTCTTTCTTTCTTTCTTTCCTTCCTTCCTTCCTTCCTTCCTTCCTTCCTTCCTTCCTTCCTTCCTTCCTTCCTTCCTTCCTTCCTTCCTTCCTTCCTTCCTTCTTAAATGCAGATTGACTTAATTATTTTCTTAAATGTCAAAGTTAATTATAAAATATTAAAAAATTTAAAACCATTTTAAAGTCTCAGCCAATAAACCAACATGACACCGGCACAGAAGTAATCAAGTAGATCAATGAAATATAACGAGCATTCTAGGGACAAACGAATACTCTAACAGTATAATATATGATTAAGTGGATATTTCAAATCAATGGGTAAAATAAGGCTTATCCAACAAATAAGGTGCATGGATCACTATTACTTGAAATAAAACAAATGTAGAGCCCTATTTCACACATTATACAAGAAATATTCAGGTGAATTAAAAATCAATATGTAGATTCTAAGGAGTTTTAGAAGAAATAGAACTAATATTTTTTATGACCTGAAGTAAAATATTCAACCCCAGAAGCTATAAAGTAAATATTGACAATATGACTATATTAAACATTTAACTGTATAGTAATACACATATAAAAAAAGTTAAAAAACAAGGAATAGAATAGGAAAGTATTTACAACACATCTAAAACATGGTTAGTAGAGTTTTTTTGTTTTATTTTTTGTTTCTTTTTAAGGGAAAAAAGTCCTACAAACCTTAATCAATGAATGGATAAAGAATACCAAAAACTCATTTAAAGCTTTTTTAAAAATAATAGAAATATGCAAGAAATATACAAAAATGGTTTAGTTTCAACAAATAGTAAAGGAACAATTAAAATAACATCATTGTCACAATCAGATTAATGAGTATTAAAAATATTGGTAATATGAAGTATTGACAACTCTGAAAGGAACTGGGTATTCATAGACTCCTTTTCTTTATTTTCTTAAAGCAGTCCCTTTAGCAAAGTTTGCAGTGCTGGTTTGTTGGAGATGTATTCTTTTAGCCTTCTTTTGTCTGGGAAACTTCTTATTTTGCCTTCCATTTTAATGGAGAGCCTTGCTAGGTAGAGCAGTCTTGGTTGCAGGCCTTTGCTTTTCATGACTTGGAATATTTCTTGCCACTCCCTTCTGGCTTGTAATGTTTCTGTTGAGAAGTCAGCTGCTAGCCTTACCAGGGCTCCCTTGTATGTTACTATCATTTTCTTCTTTGTTGCCTTTAAGATTCTCCTTTGTCTTTGATATTTGCCATTTTAATGATGATGTGTCTAGGAGTAGGCCTCATTGAGTTTCTGCTGTCCTTCCTGGACTTGTGTGACTTTTTCTCTCCTCCAATTAGGGAAGTTTTTCATCATTACTTTTTCAAACAGGTTCTCTATCCCTTCCTCATCCTCTTCTCCTTCTGGTATCCCTATTATACAGATATTATTACGTTTCAGGTTGTCCTGAATTTCCCTAAACGCCTCTTTATTCCTTTTGAGTCTTTTTTCATTTTCTTGCTCTATCTGGGAGCTTTTTTCTACCTTGTCTTCCGGCTCGCTGATTCCGTCCTCAGCTTCATCTATCCTGTTTTTGATTCCTTCTACTGTGTTCTTCAATTCAGAAATTGTATTCTTCATTTCCTCTTGTCTCTTGATAATTTCTGTGTCCTTTTTCATGCTGCTATATTTTGCAGTAAGTTCCTCGTAGTTTCCCTGTAGTTTTTGGCAATTGTCTCTGAGCTCACTGAGCTTCCTTAGAACCATTGTTTGGAACTCAATATCTGGTAGTTTACTTGCTTCTATTTCATTTAGTTCTCTTTGTGGGGATTCCTCCTTTCCCTTCTGGTGGGGGGTGTTTCTTTGTCTTCCCATTATTTGTGAGATTCTTCTATTTAGCTTCTTCTTCTTAAGCTGATCTGTCTCGATTTCCTGACTTTGTGGTATGAACTTCTATGGTAGGAAACTGCTGTTTTTACTTTCTGGATCCGCCTCCAATGATGTCAGTTGTTGACCCTGTCTGACCTTAGGCAGTCTGTTTGAGATTTCCAAGAATCTACTGTTTGTGGCTCTCTCCTTCAACTGTTAATCTAGTCATTCTGCACTCAGCAGGCCAGCTTAGACAGTTCAGGGCGGGGCGGAGTCCCTCCTAGGGTCAGGATTATCGGGTCCTCTCATGCTTCTGCTGTATGGCGGATGAGTCAGTACTGGGATCCCGCCAGCTACTCTCTCAGTTCTCTCCCCAAAGCCTGTGACCCCAGTCTCTCCTCAAGTGTCACCAGACCCTCTGCACCCCCTTTAGCCAGGGTTCCACTATTTGTGACTGCCACTCTGCCCTCAGCAGGCAGCTTAGACAGCACAGGGCAGGGTGGAATCCCACCTGGGGGCAGGGCTTTCGGGCCCTCTGATGCTGCTGCCACTCAGGGGGAGTGGTCTCTACCTGAGTGAGTGGTCTCTACCTGAGCAAGATGGCTGCTGCTGCACAGGGGATGAGTCAGCACCGAGATCCCGCTGGCTACTCTCTCAGTTCTCTCCTCAAAACCTCCTTCCCCAGTCTCTCCTCAGGCGTCCCCAGCCCACTGTGCCACTGCCTTTGCCAGAGCCCAGGGTATGTGGCTACAAATAGAAATTTATGTGTTGGCCCTTTAAACAGTTCTTTGCATCTCCAGCCGCCTGTCTCTGGCAGAGAGCAACCCTGCCACTTTTCACAGCTGGCTGTTTTCTCTGTATTCTTTGGGCTCTGGTGCTGTAGGCTGGAGAGCTCTACTTATAGTTTAGAAACCACTCTTCTCATGGGGATCCAGCAGGTCGTTTCAGTATTCTTCTGGTGCTGCCACCCGTGGGCGCCCTGCCTGCCTTCTCTTGTCTCAGCCTCACTCCTTACCAGTTAGATTGCACTAACACTGATTCTTCTGTCTCCGAGGTTACAAGGCTCCTCTCTCGCTATTGTTCAGCTGTTTGTTCCAGATGATTTCTCCACAATTTAGTTGCAATTACAGGTTGATTCTGGGAAGAGGTCAGTGTGACTTCTACTCACTCCTCTGCCATCTTCTTTCTCTAAGATTGTTTTTGATAGGTTATTATTTATTGCCATTTTTATTCTTTATAAACTGTGCTCCTCTCTCTCTTAATTTCTTCTTGAATTACTCCCTTTAACACTTCTTATAATGCTGGTTTGGTGGAAATGAACTCCTTTTCTACTTTTTTTGTCTGAGAAGATTTTTATTTCACCTTCTATTTTAAACAGTAGCCTTGCTGGAAAAGAATAATCTTGGTTTCCAGTCCTTGCTTTTCATTAATTTGAATACTTCTTGCCATTCTTTTCTGGCCTATAGTGTTTCTATTGAGAAATGAGCTGACAACCTTATGGGAGCTCCGTTGCAGATAAATAACTTTTTCTCTGCTGCCTTTACAATTTTCTCCTTGTCCTTAACCTTTGCCATTTTAATTATGATGTGTCTTGGTTAGGTCTCTTTGGGTTCACATAGATTGGGGCTCTCTGCACTTCCTGGACTTGTGTACCTTTTCCCTTCACCAGTAGGGAAATATTGAGTCATTATCTTCAAACTGGTTCTCAATTTCTTGCTCTCTTCTTCTGGTACCTGTCTGATGCTGATATTGTTATGTTTGATGTTGTTCCATTAATCCTTTAAAATATCCCCATTTTAAAAAAAAATTTTCTTCCCTGAATTGGGTATTTTCTGCTACCTTGTCTTTTAAATCACTGTATTCATCATCTGCTTCATCTAACCTGATTTTGATTCTCTCTAGTTAACCTTCCTGTTATTTTAGTCTTTCTTTTTTTTATAGTTTCTGCGTCTTTTTTTTATGCTGTCAAAGTTCTCACTAAGTGTCTTGAACATCCTTATAATTATATTTTTGAACTCTGGTAAATTGCTTGCCTCTATTTCATTTAATTCTTTTTCTAGAGGTTTCTTCTGTTCTGTTATCTGGGGTCATGTTTCTTTGTCTCCCCATTTTGGCTGCCTCTCCTTGTTTGTGTCTGTATATTACGTAGGTCTGCTATATCTCCCAGTCTTTGTAGAGTGGTCTTGTGTAGTAGGTTTCCTGAGGAGCCCAGTGGCACAGTCTCCCTAATCACCTGAGCTGGGTGCTCCAGTAGCATCTCTTGTGTGGGTTATATGTGTTCTCGTGTTGTAGATGAACCCTTTTTGCTGTTGGTACGTCTGTTTGTCGGGTGGACTCTCAGGCTGGCTGTCCATGAGGATTGGCCATGACCACAGCAGACGAGCTGCTGCGTTGGGGTTGACCCCAGGGAATGGAATTTATCCCTGAACGTTCTGGTGCTAACCAAGAACTCCCTTCGGGTGCACGACTTGTGGAGCTAATGAGGTCATGCTCTGTTGTGTTCTGAAGTGAGCCACTGGGTGTGTTGGTTCTGGGCCCCCCGGGAGGGACTTCAGTGTAGATGAATGTCGATCAATGTCAGAGCTGCCTGTAACCTGTTTGGCGCTACCTGTTAGGAGTTACAAGGTGGTCTAGAGTTGGTAGCTGCTTGTACTTGGCCTAGGTGCATAGGGGATGGGCCAAACTGTGTACCAAGACCTGCTCCCCCCAGTACTGCTCCTCAGGCAGGTCAGCAGAAGGCTCAAGGCACCTCAGGATCTGCTGCTGCTGCTTGGTAAGCTCAGCCATTGGAAGAGCCTTAGATAATACATGAGTTATGCGAGTAGGTTCTCAGAAGGCACCAGGTAAGGGCTAGTGGTGTTCACCAGGTTAATACAGATTGAAACTCAATGCCAGTGCTGCGTCTGAGGCCACTTAGCAAAACTCTCTGGGTACACTGAGGCCAGCCACTATCTGCCGGGAGCCTGAGGGTTGTTGCGATGGCTCAGGGTTTCAGGAGTCATCAGGGTGGAACCAGTAGAGTTAGTTAGGCTAAAGCAGATTAAAATTGGGCCATATGGAGGGATGGCTCAGCGTGGAAAAGGTGGTACCCATCGGGCATGCCAGAAGAAGGCTCTCACCCAAAAACCATACAACTTAGTCTCTCCCGATGTGCCTCTGGGGCTCCCATAGCCCACCCAGAACTCCCTGAGAGTTTTAAAAGAAATACTGCAGCACAAGCCCAGGCTGGCCTGTGCTACAGTCACGTGCCAGCTGGGCAGAGGCGGGCCTCAGGGCGTCGCCAGGGTGGAGCTAGTACAGTGCTTCAGCCTAATGATGTGTATGTGTGTGTGTTGGGGGAGTAGGGGTAGGGACCAACCTGGGAATGGTGGTGGAGGCTGGGCTCAAGGGGAAAATAGCCCTCACTCTAAATCCATACAACTCTCTCTTTCCCTGTGTGTCTCTGGCACTCCCTGAGCTTGCCTGAAATTTCTAGCTACTATTTCTCTCTACTTCTGGAAGTGGAAGACCTTTGGTTAGCATCCTACTTATAATAATCATGCTGTATTTGAAAGTAAGTTTACCTCATTCTGGGGTTACTCTAGGCATTTGACCTGTTCTTCCTAGATGATTGCCAGTTTCTCTATGTCATTCTCAGAATATGGAAACACTTATTTTTAAAAAATGATTCAGTATTATGTAGCCAGTCATGTCACTAGCTAGGTAATTAATAGTAGGTGATTTCTAATTTTGGTGTAACTCTTCTTTCCTATAACTACTTCACATTCTTTTAATATATTCTTTAAAAAGCAATTATAAACACTTATAAATTATAAATAGTGTTTTGTGAAGCACCAGCCAGCATCGTCTGTTGATCCAAACTAAAGCCTTTCCAAATCTCATCAACTGGGAGGAAAAATTGCATGCAATGTGTATTGTTACATAACTGATTCCACAGTCAGAATTCTACTATTGTACTGATCAGATACAAGAGCAGAAATATGTTTGCCAAGAATTTGTTTGGGAAAGGCAGCAGTTATTGCCTTTACAAAGTGTAAAATGCTATTTCAGGATCCATTTATTCACTAAACAGGCAAAACATAAGAGTGGATGCAGAGTTGTAAAGCTGAGAGAGACCTTAGAAGGTCAGAGAGCACTTACATGCGTTATCCAAGACAGAGGGTTGTCTGTTTTATTTTTAATAATTTTTAGGTAAGTAGATTCTATGATTCCTTCAGTAATCTTCCTACCATTTTAAAACAGCCTTTAGAATATAATTTAAACATTGTTTTATGTCCTGTAGCTCTTAGCAGAAATAAACAATGTCTTCTACACCACAAGGGGGAAATGCTTAAGATTGAAATAGGCAGAAAGGGGAACAAAAGTCAAATAGTCCCTTTTAGTGCATTGGCTGTTTTTTGTTTTGCAGGTCATTACCCAGCTCAGGAAAGCCTGATGTTCCTTGTTCTCTGTATATGAAGGAGCTTCAAGGTTTCATTGCCAGAGTTATGAGTGACTACTTTAAACACTTTGAATGCTCAGACTTTGTCTTTGACAACACTGAAGCTATTGCCCAGAGAGCAATTGAACTTTTTATCCGCAATGCCAGTCTCATAAGACCTCTTGGTGAAGGCGGGAAAATGCGACTTGCTACTGATTTTGCACAGGTAAGTTGCTGTATAGTTGCAGAGGGGAAAATGTTTCAGCCTCAAAGTTATCTGTAAAAAAAAAAAAAAAGACTAAATATGTTCCCGGCCAGGGAGCTCAGTTGCTTGGAGTATCGTCATATACACCAAAACATCACGGGTTTGATTCCTAGTCATGACACATATCTAAGTTGTAGGCCTGATGCACGGTTGGGGCATGTACAGGAGGTAACTGACTGAACTGTTTCTCCCTCTCCTCCTTCCTTTCTAAAAATCAATGAAAGCATGTCCTTGGGTGAGGAGTAAAAAAATAAATAACAAATATGTATTTCTCGGTGTTTTAAAGTATTGAAGTATAAAGAAAAATAAGTTTATTTAAACCTAATTGGTAAAAAAACAAAAACATTTAAATGTACTTTCATAGGAGACAATTCATAGAAGATACCTATCTTCTTTGTATTTAACAAAAGAATCATCATTCATCTTTGACATTTCACAGTTAAGGTGAAGTCGCTCGTTCTGCAGTAAAGAAACATTTCCCACGTTTATGTAATATGGGGCTTCTCACTGTTTTACTGCCCCAACAGGGCAGGGCAGTATGGAAAAGTAATTGCTAGAAAATAACGTAGGCAGTGAAATTTATTCTTCAAACAGTGTAAAAGGGCTGTCTGTTGTCACGTAAAGAGAAAGAACTCCAGTACATCTGTTATCCTCTGGCGACCTGCTCAACATTCCAAGACAGTGTTCTAATTCCTTTAGATGCAGAGTGGGCCAGGTAGATAAAGAGTCTGAGTATTTGGTCCCCTGTATGAAATAGAGAACTTTTCGCATACATGGGCCTGCTTAAAATCATTTCAAGCTTTGTAATGTGGATGAGGTAAAATGACATTAAAATAAGAACCAAAATCAGCATTTATGGAAATTTTTTTTTCTTTGTCCTCCAAGATGTATTTTTCTAAGCCTTTTAATAGTACCAAAGGCAAAGAAGAAAATCTCAAACATACATTTGATTTAAAACATTCAGAAACAGATAATTCCCATTTATATAGCGTGTCAAAGGTGAAATAATTTTTAAGCCTTTCAAAGCTGCTAGCTTTAGTAGTATAAATAGTTACTCAAATGGATTATTCATAGTGGTTTCCCAGATCCCCCCTGCTTATAAAGATAAACAAATTTTAATGTCCTCATTTATACCTGTGTGTATGTGTGAGCAAGTCCTGGTTTATTGTCCGTGCACAGAAAAAAGGATGTGGCAGGCTGCTCATATCAGTATGTGGTGGTTGCCCAACACTCCCTCATACCTGATAGAGTCACAAAAATGAATGAAGTACCTAACCTGATGTTTTGAGAGCTGGGCTCTTTGCATATCAGTTGGTCTAGAAATGTCATTTTTATCCCCAAATGATACACCTGAGACCACTAGACCATAATAAAGAGCCTTCCTTTAGGAAATATGCCCTTGCTGGTCTTAGCAAGAAAATAGAAATTAATTGTTACCATTAATGTGGCTCCTTTTACCTTTACCATTTTTATCAGCTTCATTCTCAGGCACCTGTATAGTTTGCTTTGTTATCACAGGTAAATTTAAGCTTAAACAGAATTATATATGAATAGGCCTTGCTTGTCCCTTACTGGGCTTAATACTGTTATTGAAATGAAGACGCAGTGGCTACCAGCCTGGGTAGCTCAGTTGGTTAGAGCATTGTCTCAACACACCAAGGTGGTGGGTTCAATCCCCAGTCAGGGCACATGTAAGACTCAACCAATGAATACATAGATGAGTGGAACAAAATTTCTCTCTGTCTATCTCTGTCGCCGCCAGCTCCATCCCTTCCTCTCTCTCTAAAATCAATAAATAAAAAAAATTTTAAAAAACAAAAAACATTATGAGCTATACTCAAATGAGTGTCTGTTCTTGTTTTACCTTTCCTTCTTAATTTCATTTTTTCTTTTCCTGTCTTCTCCCTCTCTGGTTGCCTCCCCCACGGGTTTATTTGCATTCTGCTCCAGCTGGTTCTTGAGTCACTTTCCTAGAGGCAGCACTTCAAGTCCAATTAGAGTGGCAGGCAAGCAGGAGATGGCCAGAGTGAGTGCTGTAGAAAGAGGCTTTTGTTTTTTCTTTTCATGTTAATATGTTCCCTGTGAGTCTTGAAAGATGGACAGCATTGTCCTTTAAAGCTTCCTGCTGCAGCAGGCACCTGCCCAAAATGCATAGCATCAAGTGGCAGGGCTGAGCTCTCACCTTCCTAAAACTGCATTATTCAGAAATTTATTTGGTATGTTACCCAATAAACCAGACTTTTTTCCAGGTCCCTTCCCTTAAGTTAAAGGAAACTCATATGCTCCACAGTATCCTGTTTTTCATTGCTTAAATATAGAGAGAACAGGCATTTACAACATAGCATTTCCTCCAGGTTAATAGTGTATTTTCCAGTCCTGCAAAGACATTGGTTGCTAAAGACTATGTGGTGCTGATTTCTTTGTTCACTCCTGTACAGTGTGCCCCAGTTTTAGAACATCCCTTCATTTACCACGGAAATGGCCTCTTGGCACGGTGGGTAGTGGGCACAGGAAAGACAGGTGGGAGTACTATCATAATCATATCTGTGGCCAGTAATTGTGGCAAATATTATGCAGCTGTTAGTTATCCCTCTGCCCATATTTTTAAAAATTGAAGTGTATTTGTGGTTTTGATTTCATTTCATGTCTTGCTACATCTGCAATAGTGTGTTGTTGTACCTTAGCTTTCAGAATCGTGCTTGGTTGGAAGTATTTTCTGGGGTCAGTCAAAACACTTAAATAGCGTCACCCTTACATTTATATTCATAACAGGCATCAACTGGGGACTAGAAAGTCTTAAGCTGCCTCATTATCGAAAGTTCTAGCAATTTGCATTCAGAATTAAACAAAGCCATTGAGGCCACTGGAATCAGGAGTACACAGATCCACTGTGGGTTTGTAAAGAGTTCTTGTGAGAAAAGTGCTTGCTATTCAGGCATAAATAACAGAAAAAGAAATTGCTCATGAAGAGACCAGTGGAGTATATTTGGGAATACTGATTATTTGGCATGAAGTCTAGTTGCAAAGGCAGATGATACATTTCAAGGATTTCCTCAGGACCCTCACTTCTCCCCACGGGCACCATTGCCCGGGTGAAAGAGAAAGTGGTTTGCAGGGTGCCATCTGGACGGTTCATGGGGAGGAAGTACCTAACATACAGTCCCCCTGAGGAATCAGGTCACAGCACAAGGTGGTTTCCTTCAGGTAATTAATTCCTTACTGTGACCACATGGTCTCTGTGTCCACACTAATCACGCAGTGGTTCTAAAGCACTAAACTTGTCCAAGACCACTGAGGTTCTGCTGATTTAGAGTCTCTTTAGGGACTTGTCTACAGTGTCCTCTGAAGCACACACTCCCCTCTGCTTCTCAGTTATGTTTTTTCCTTGAGGGAATGGATGACTGTTGATGTTGGCATTAAATTAGTTGCTCAGTGGTACTTCTAGCAGTTTATATTTATAGGTCTTCTGCCTGGAAATACAAACTTAAAAAGAAAACAAAATAGAGATTCTGTCTTCTGTTCTAATTCCATTATCTTTTCTCCTGAACAGCGTCAGGGCAGGAGAGTCCTGGGAGCACCCAGAGATGCCCTGGGGTTGGCCAAATGTCTGGGATGGGTGAGGAGCAGCTATGTAGTTAGTTCAGTGGGCCTGCAGCTGACGCTTACTCCCTCCAAACAGGAGAGCTGGAAAGAGGTGGTTGCATGTGCCAATTTTGTATCCACAGCTAATTGCAGGGTCACCTCCTCTAAAGGTAACACTCCTGCCCACTTGAAACACGGCCTTTATTATTTAATGGAGTTGCAGCAGAAGAAAATGGGTTTCAGAACCCTAGAGGTCCCTTAGAAATTAATGTTAAGCCCTTAACATTTGAAATTATCCATGGCATAGAAATATCCTACGTTATCATAGGTTACACGGCCATTTGAGGTCATACATGTATTCTCTCATGTTGTAATTTTTTCCCCTAGCCACTTATTTGTTTTGACAGTCAATCCTGCTCAAATGCTAGGGCAAAGGTTGTTTGGTTTAATCTTTGAAGATGATGAAACCCACTAGGGTAATGGAAAAGAAAAAAGACAAAAACCTTTCATAACAAATACTTTACATAATTTCAGTGTGTAAAAAAATCATACATGTTATATACACTCATATACACATACACATAAAAAGTGTTAAATATATGATTGGAATTACCAACTCAGATATATGATAGTCACATTTTTCCTTTGTGCTCGGTATAAATATGACAGATCCTAAAGAAAACTAGAAACTCACAGAACGACCAAGTGAAACAGGTCCCACGGTGGGAACAGCCCATCACCCGCTGTCTTTTGAATTGAGCACTGGCTCGAAGCTGTTCTGTTTTGCATTGTTGGCAAGAATCCTGACTATTCTTCCTTAAATTTGTTTCTTTTTATTTATTTATTCTCTATTTTAGCAATTTTTTCAAACCTGTAAGTTTTCATCTAGGATGTATAGTGTATACTCTGGGTTTCTTAGTAAGAGAATGATTCACCCTCAAAGCCATCCCAAGGGCCCTGTGCCCAGTTCTCCCTGACACTCAGTTCATATATTTGATACCACATGGCTTTTTGCTGAATACTCATCATTGAGCACCTATATATGTATGTGTGCATATATGTATACACACACCTTTCTTAGGATTTTTTGAGTAATATTTGCGTCATTTAGATGAACATATATTGCTTTCTTCACTAAATTTGAGAGAGCTCCTTGAAGAATAGATAGTCTAATTCACCTTCTCATCCCCATGTCTAGCTTGGTACCTGCAATGAATAGGGAGTCAAAAATCTTTCTTAGAAAAGTGATGGTGTAGGTATTCATGGTCTTCCAATGGCAAGGAGGCTTGAACAGTTTTTCAGAAGGATGGCCAACAGGATGGAAGCCTTCACTTTCTTTCTGTATGCTTTTCTTGAAGAAAGATGCTGCAGTAGCAGCGAGCAGCCTTTTGTTCAGCTATTTTCTAAATTATTCTTTACTAGGGTCATCTTTATAGCAAGAGTGCAGAGACAGTATCACTTGAATGCCACATTTGCAAAAGCTTTACATATGCAATTGGTAGATAAAGAACAGAGAGCCTATAACTCCAATTACTGACAAGTAAAATTTCCAAGCAAAGGAGGAAAGAGAAGTGAAACCAATAGTTGCTAAATTATTGAGTCCGTGTGCAAATTAATTTACTAATAATTTAAATGGGAAAAAGTTCTTAAAATATTGATACTAATTGCCAACACTTAAAAAGCACTTATTATACATGCCATGCACACAGAATTTTATGGAATTATCTATTTATTTGCCTAATTCTATGAACTAGATACATCTCCGTTTGACAGATAAGAAACCTGGGACTTAAAGTGGAGAGGTTAAGTTCAAGGCCACACAACTAGTTTAGTCTTGTAGATCGGAATTCTTACGCAGATGGGCTGCCTCCAGAGTCAGTGCTTTTAATCATTTGGGCCAGCGTGGTAAAAATTGTCATTGTTTATATTTACTAGAAAAAGGCTTGTTATACCTCCTAAGTATAGGCACACATCAGTTTTAAAAACCTTTGTTTTTCTGTGTTTTAATGGAGAAGTAGTCTAAAACCTTCTCCTATTATGTAACCAAAAAAAAATATTTTTCTATTTTCTTGACAGAATAATCTTATTTTATGCCCTTTTAGTAAATAAGTGCCAAAGTTACCTAAGTTATTTTAATAAATTTGATTGACTTAAAGTTTACCTCAGAGTTAAGTTTACTATAAGCTACAACTTTCTATGATCCAGGTGTGTCCCCAGTTCATATTAGGATTCTGACATTAAAGCTATGAGTATTATTTTCTATTTCAGATGGAGTTGGCTGTGGGTCCATTCTGCAGACGAGTATCTGATTTAGGGAAGTCCTATCGAATGCTGAGGTCATTCAGGTGAGACATAATCCTATTCTTGTTGCTAATGTATCCATATATTATTATATATGGAATTACATATGGAATTATTAGCAGATAAATCATTTTTTCCTCTATTCATGTTGAACTATATGAAATTGCCAGTATTTAACCATTTTGTGACCTATAACAATGGCAGTTTCATATAGTTTGTCTCAGAAGTTACTGTGCAAACCAGAAATCTGTCTAGAATTATGTACAGTGACTAATGAGTTTATATATGTGTTATTTTTGAGTTATAATTCACAAGACTGAGCTGGCAAATTTTATTATGCTCTTTATAGGGGAATTTTTTTTCCATTTTTACAGAAATATATTGAGTACCAGACCATTTATAATTACATACAGTTTCTTCTGAAATTTTTATTTGTTCATTTATCATTTTCAATCCAATATACTTCTAAATAGGTCATAGGTTACATTCTATAGCAAAACTTTGAATAGAGTATTAAAAGAACTTTAGTGATGAAATGTAATGAGTAACTATGTGTAATAGGTAATTTAGACTAAAGATGGCTAGTGTAATTGAGCACAGAATTTAGAACTGAGCTTCCTAAGAACCCATTCAAAAAGGAAAATGAGTTCATACTCATGATGAAAAAATATTACCAGATGGTAATAGCAGATGAAAGAATATTTAATGGGAAAATCCTTTTCAGTGCTGAATATTTAGATAGGTCCTCTACCAATTCAGATGGAACATTGAGTAGCTGAATGACTTGTGTTTTCAGTAGCAGATTATAGAAGATAAGACGTTCATGTGACTATTTATTCAATAAGCCAGAACTTCCCAAACTTTTTCGTGTCATGGCACACATAGAAAATGTATGCATTCAGCAAAAATGACCACCCCTGGGGGTTGAGGGGACCCACTTAACACTTCCACCATCAAGTGACCGCAGCATACCAGATGGGAAGCCTCTGTATAAACTGTTCACAATGTCCAACAGCACACAGGATGGGGCAAAGTGGGTTTACAGTTGTGATATGCAAAACACAGTTGATTCTTATTTATTAATTATTGTATTATCCATACCAACAACTGTAAACCTACTTTCACCCCACCTTGTATAATGGTCTTTGAATGTAGTTCTATGACGATAAGGTAGGAGAGTGGAATGATGTGACTTTCTAGCTTCCAGTACTGGAAACTAGAGTAATCACCAAAGCAGTATGTCCTTTAAATAATCACTTTTCTCTCTTATTTCATCCAAGCTTTTGGTAGTAGAAAATTCAGGTGTGACATTACTTGAAATACAAGAATCCAAGATTGTTTACTGAAAAGGGAGTCCTGTGCTTTGCACCTAGATTTGCACCTAGATAACAAAGATTTTTTTCAATGCCAACACAAGAGCCTAAACTATTTCTCTCAAATGCCCTTCTGTGCAGAGGTGGGTTTCAAAAAAACTTAAAGTGGAATCACAGGTGGAGATTTCAAAAAGTTTAAGGTAGGATGTTACCAAACATGGAGTACTTGAAAGATGAAGAGGTTACTCATCCACATGTCATCTGTCTGTACCATAAAACTAATCTTAATAAAATTCTTATAAAATCACTCACTTTGAATAAGATGATAACACAGCAGTCCCAGTTGGGTAATAAAATGCTTCCCTGAGTCATAGAATAGGTTAGCATACTGAGGATATTAACCAGCTATTTATTGAAAAGGTATGGGAAAGGCTGTGGTTTGGGATTTGCTGTATTAAAATTAGGCTATTGTTTTTGATAGTCCCAGATGCTATGTTTAGTTGTTTATTGTATGTGCATATATTAAACGAGTGCTTGTCTTCCTGTTTGTTGAAGTGAGATGGTCTGTATAATGTGTGTCACAGTACATGATACAAGTTCTACAAGTTTCACATAAGGCCAATTCAGTTTAAAACAGTCATTTAAGGTGGGACTTTTATGTTAGGTTCCCAATTCTCACATGAGAAGAGGACTTTAAAGAGATATTTAAAGTTTGAATAGTCACATCTCTTATTACCTATTTATAGAAAAAAAATTAGTGATTGATCAATGTATAATAAAAGAAAATCCAGATTTTTGTTTATCTAGCTTCTTTCAATGGACAATAGCTGTTACTCTTTATTGTATAATCTGACATAGATTTGCATGCAAATGTGCAAAGCACACTCAAACCCATTTACATGGCACAAATGCATTCTCCTGTGTTATGAAGCAGAATTACTCTTACATGTGATATGTTCTCATATTTCTTTTCTGTTTGATTATTTTGACCCACTAAATTGGTTTCATGACTCACAAGTGGTTTGCATCCAGCAGTTTCTCCCCTTTCTCATGGGGCCTTTAACACACTTTAGCTCCTTTAGTAACAAAGGTAGAGCTTGTTAATTTTTACAGTTATAAAGATTTATCCCCCTTCTCCTGGGATTCTGGAACACTTGAGCTTCCTCCTGCAGGTAACTCCTTAGCTTCCAAGGCATCAGCACTTATATAATAATTGTATCTTATCTACGGAGCATTCTCCATAACTTGAATTCAGTGAAAAATTATAACAGATTTCTATTTGCCACTATATTGCTACAGTCATAGTGAATCAACAAAAATCTATTGAATAGATCCTAGCATTTTCTCGGTTTGTTTGATAGGACTTGAACAACTGTTTGATAAAGATATTAGGATTAACCAGGTCAGGAAATAAAATGAAAGCATAGTGTATTATGAGGTCAAATCTAGCTCTGGTTGGCAAAGAACGTTTTAGGTCCTAGCTCTTGAGAAGAGCGGTATCAGTAGGTTCCACTGCCACTGCCTGTCAATGATGGGAAAGCCCTTGGCTCTGCTGCAGGCGTCTCCTGTCTTCACAGGAAGCAAGTTGACTTAGGAAAGCTGACCTATTTGGAGGAGCCTACAGAATCCCTTCACAGAGAGGAGTAAATCAGGACAGAGCAATCTTTAATCCAATAACCCAGTTCTAGGCCCTCTATTTGCCTATCTGCAAAAGCTTGTTAGAGGTTTATCTCTAATCCAAAATTAGCTCTGAGCAGTTGCATAGGAATAGCCCACTCTTGTTAATCCTCCCATCTGTGCTGTGGGTTGTGACAAGGCACAGGCATCAGCCAGTGGCCCTGTATAGAGTTGACTTGGCTCTTGTCCATGGTCTCCTCCCCAAACGTTCTGAATCACACCAGAACCAGCTGAATGGCAGTCAGCAGGAGACTGGCCAGATAATATATGCTACATCCATAGGATCAAATATGTGCATCAATAAGCAATTTTTATTGTTAGTTAATAGCTAATAATATGAAAAATACTTCTAATGCATCATGAAGTGAAAAAACAGGCTATTAAACGGTATGTATGATATGATCCCTACTGTTTTTTAAATAATAATGTATGTGTATATATGGAATACTAGACAGGAGAGGAAAAGCTAGGAATGATAAATATTAAAATGTTACCTTCAGATAGTAGGGTCGTCACTAGTGATTTTTCCTTTAAAGGTTTTCTAAATTTTTCAGATTTTCTGCCTTGGTTATTTTATAGTTGTAGTCAGAAAAGTCAATAAACATTTTAAAATCCCTCTTGCAGTGTTTTCCCCATTTTTAAAATAACAAGGGAGCAAAAAATATATATATATAAAATACATTAAAACATTATGCCATGTGTGTAGGGGGGTGGACAAGAAAAATGGGCAGTCACACACTCCACCCCCAGCAGGTGGGCCTTGGTCCGAATTAGCGGCAGTGGCTGCAGGAGAGGGCAGTGGGCCGTTCGCGGGGACTGACAGTGCCAGCCACGTACCCTCCCGTGCGGACGCCGGGAGCAGCGCCTCTCACACACGCAGGCACTCGGACCTCGGCAGGGCCTCGCCCCCCCGCCACGCAGCCATCTGCCGCAGGGCACTTTATTCTTGACAGTAATATCAGTGGACTGTTTAATTAAGCCAGCCAGCTTCTTGCATACATTTACTTTTCACTGCCTGCATTAGAGTGTCTCAGGCAGCAGGAATCATTTCTTACCCTCAGGGGTGTCCAACCTGGGGTTTGCGAGCAGCAGGTGGCCCAGGACAGCTATGAATGCAGCCCAACAAAATCATAAATTTACTTAAAACCTTTTATTTGCTCATAGTCTTTGTTAGTGGTTATATATTTCATGTGTGGCCCAAGACAACTCTTCTCTTCCCAGTGTGGTCCAGAGACCCCAAAGGGTGGGACCCCCTGCACAGAATGCTGCCTCGGAAAGCTGCTGGCATTAGGGATTTGCTCCTGGATGGTTTCTGTTTCCACACAGCACAGTCGGAGCCCCGCCTTGCCAGGGCCGGGAAGCTCTGCCCCTTCACATTCCCAGTGCAGGTCTTTGTGAGGCAAAGGGCGGAAAAAGGGCCACATGCCTTTCACCCGCGAGGGAGCACAGACCCTGCCTTCAGGCGGCACCGCAGCCTTTGCTCGGGAGGGAGCAGCTTAGTCCCTGAATTTTGTCCACAGCTTGCTCTGCTGGATGCTTTGTCGGGTTTAATGAAAGAGCATTGAAAGCTGTCAGGAGAGAGAGGCTGTTACGATGGGTCTGTTAGCATGAGGGGCCTTGGAAGCAAGAAATCATCAGTAACTCTAGAATGTAGTGTTGGTGTCAGCTGTTTTTAGTTGTGAGGATTTTTCGTGTCTACAGTTTGTACTGGTGACCATCTGTGCTTGAAACCCACCCTCCGTGCCTGCGCGTTGGTAGGCCTGAAGGCAGCCATCCCAGCAGCTGCCGTCTTTAGCACTTGGAACGCTAGGACCCCAAATGTGTTCTGTCCGTCCTTTCCACTTGTGAATCTAGAGCTCAGCAACCCTTCCCCTGAAATAACTGTTTCCCAAGGTTTCTAGATTCTTAATTCCAAGTTTGAAATTTCAGCAGTGTTGCCAGAAGGGGCCACATCTTGGGCCCGGTCAGGCGTGTTGTTTGCCAGCGGCCGGTAAACACGGAGGGAGGGATGTGTGATTTATTATCATTTTAATTCTGGCAGTCATTATTTAATC